TGATTTTAAAAAAGCCTAATTTGAGGTTTGATGTTGGCCCTATTGATTAAAAAAAAGGAAACATTTTTCTCAGCTGATTCCATCTTTATATTTACAGACCATCTGTTGCCATAGCACTGACCATCATGGCAAATTGCAATTAGTAACACTCCGAGGTAATCAGGAAAAAGGCCAACGGAGGCTGTGTCCAGGCCTCGGTAACCCATGACTACTAGACTAATTGATCAATAGGAAGCTTAATTTCAAGAGACCTGGTTTCAGGATGTTGCTTTGCCTCTTACTGTGTATATGTGGGTCATCTGTTGAATAGAATGATCATTTTCAAGCTTGATTTCTTGATTGACGCGACATGTGTAAAACTGTTGCCTTTGCTAGTTAGACAAACTCATTAACATCTCTGGGCCTAATTCCAGTTAAGTGTAAATCAAGATACTACCTAACCCAAAGACACTTCTACTACACGGCCACCAAGCTCATACTGTCGCTTTTATTAAGACTTTGAGGTGAATGTTGGAGAACAAGAACTTAAATGTAGTGAAGTGGGAAAAGGAGGCATCATGAAGAGGGGGCAGTATGGGCAGAAGCCAGGAGGGTAGAAAAGCAAAAACTGCATGCAATGAAAAATGACACGCAGAAGTCAGACAAAGAAAATTGCAAAAAGTGATGAGGGATGACTCGTAAAAACGAAGTCACATACTGGAGGTTGGTATGTAGGAAGGCCAGATGCCACACTTAGGTGAAAAGGATTGACTAGCTCAGCTAGAAAGCTAATGCGATGTGATTGGAGTTCCTAACTAAGCCTCTGCTATTAGGTTTTTTTCTTTTCTTTTTTTTTTTTTTTTTTTTCAGGATGAAAAATGAAGCCTACTGACTTTACTATCATGACTGTTCTCGTAAATCTAATTTCCAGAACTTTTATGATATGTCCCATCACATGATCACTGGCCATCTTAACTTGCCTCTAGGTCATTTAAAAAAAAAAAGTCCTAGTCTCATAGCTTGGCCAATTGTAGCCGCTGTCTGAATCGCTTCAAGTTCTATTTAACTACAATAGATTGTGAACCATCCCTCGATAGCATTTCTACCAGAAAGCCTTCTTTAGGAATCTCTATCTTTCTAGATTGCTTTATTTCATTTCTAGATAGCTTATCACATATCTAATTCTTAAAAATAGTGTCCTGGAAGATTTATCATTGAGCTAGGAATAAAATAATAGGCATCCTGGCAGTACACCGTTACAATTTGGACTGTGCTATTTAATGTCACCAGTTTCTTTCCAGGTTAAATGGCTTGTTAATTCTCAAACTCCAAAGACACTTTGAATCATTCATCAAGAAATGAAATAACAGGAACTCCACCCTTAAGCTTCACCCTAGGTGCTTAGGATACACCGGTGAAAAAAACAACAATAACAACAACAAAACAGAAGCTTATCTATACATGTCAGTACATCGTGTATATATTTATGGTATGATTGTCTCATTGCAGCAAAATAGTTCTTCAACTATGACCTGCATTAAAATTACCTTCAGGCCTCAGCAAAACATAGTTCTGTGTTTCTGATATGAGGGGCAGGAAACCTTTCATTTTTAAAGTGTTTATTTACTGGTGAGTTTGATATAACAGTACACAAAACTCATGCAGAGAATTTGTTCTTACAGATTGGTTTTCACACTTCTGTGCTGACAGTGCCTAGAAAGATATTTATGGAATGAGAAATATGAGGCAGATGGTCAATGGATAAAAAGACCTACATATTTTCTTGAGTGATTTTATAGATGCAAAATCACAATTCAACTAAAAGAAGAAAGAACAACAGGTGAAGTATTGTCAACAGAAAGGTCCAGATGAGGAATTGCCTGCATCCAAGGGAAACAATTATTTTTAACCTACAGGAAGGGGTAAGGACCAGGAAAAACTTTGTGGAGTGTTTTGGTTATTCATTGAGAGACCAAGACAAATAAAAAATGTCCCCAGGGACAGAGCTGGAATTATAATTGCATGGGAGACTTGAGATCCTCACATTGATTCTCAGCATGAAGGGTAAAAAGTGCCTTACACTCTTCAAAATATGCTAAGAATATGTCTAGATCTTATCTACCTAATCTATAGTGAATCCTTTTTAAATTTATTTTTTTGAAGGTCTCATTGTGTTTCCATGACTAGCCTGAAACTAGATATGTAGACCAGGCTATCCTGGGAATATCTCAAGTGTTGGAATTAAAAGTGTGAGCCACCATGCCCAGTTTATGGTGAATCTTTTATTTAGTGTTTTAAGATCTTTTACGGTCTCATAAAGACTACAGCTTTATAATTCTATGTAACATTTGATTTCTGGAAATAGCTGAAAATCATTTGGGGAGAATAAATGTATTCCAGTTTGGCCTGCAACTTGGTATATAGCCTACACTTTCCTTGAACTCACAGTGAGCCTCAGCCTGTCTTAGACTCCCAAGTGCTGGTAATTACAGGCTTCTGTGACTATACCTGCTGTAAATACCACATTTTTGTCAAAACTGTCAGAGGTTTGAGTGATTTAGTTGGTCAATCCTGTTGTTGAAGACACATTTTTTGTTAAGTCATTAATTTTCTTAGTTGCCCAAGGCAACTTTAGAGTAAGGGTTTAAAAACCATTTCTACAATAGACTGATAGTCTTTAAAAGTGAAAACAGTTATTAAAGTGTTGAGGGTTTCACTGTGTTTCCAAGACTAGCCTGGAATTAGATAAGTAGATCAGGCTGTACTGGGAGTGTCTGAAGGGCTGGGATTAAAGGTGTGAGCCCCCAAGCCCAGTTTATGGTGAATATTTTATTTAATGTTTTATTGCCTTTAAACAACTCATAGGCCTCAGATATTTGATTGATTGGTTTGTTTTTATTTGACAATCAATCAGGTAAAGGCAAGGCTTATGGTGCTTATTTCTAATCCTAGCATACCGGGGCAGAAGCAAGGGGATTGCAAATTTAAAGATAGTTTGTATGTAGATACACAATGAATTCCAGGCCAACCTGGGCTGTAGAGGGGCCTTGTGTTCTAACAACAAAACTAATTTTAATACACTAGGTATCTTCATTTATTTAATAAATTGACAACTGAATATAAGAATATACCATGTATGGTTTTCTTCAAAATATAAGCCATGACACAAAGGGATTTTTTTTTTCCAAGTTAAAACTATGAAAATTATGTATTGGTGATACAAAAGGCACTATTAAAAATATAAAACTGGTGAGGATCTTTTTAATGTATATTTTTTGCACTTAGTCTTCCAAATCCTGAATGTACTATATATATAGAGTACATCAATTACAATACTAAATTTTAACTGGCAATGCTTTTTTATTCAGAATTAATAACATTTTATTATGGAACAGAACTCCATGCCTAATTAATTAAAGGCTTTTCATTAGCCTAAGTGAACATTGGTTTATTATGCTGGGATTAATTTAAAAATAAGAAACTTAAAATTCATCTTCTAAAACCCAGAGCAGGTGGGATTGCGCAGTGGATGAAGGTACCTGTCCCTCTGTATTAAGTTTGATCAAAGAGTAGAAAGAAAGAATCAACTCCTGCAAGTCGTCCTTTGATCTATATAATCCATAGCTGTAAATCATACAAGCACACGCACACACACATACTCACCTACATACAAACTAAATGTATTTAAAAAGAAAAAGAAAAAAAAAAGAATGATCTCTATTTTACACACCGGCTGGCCTTGAATTCACAGAGATCTGCAGTACTGAGGACCTTGCTCTCTCTTCGGTTATCAACATTGGAAAATATTGACAATCTAGGTTGTAAAAAGAATTTATAGATATATTAATAATATCTTTTATATTTATATTTTATTAATAATATTTTATTAAAATTAATTTCTTATTGAAGTTTTGTAAACAGAACTCCTTCTGCCTACTGTCTCAAGTACAAGAATTTACAGTTGAACACTAGCATGTGTTCAGAAATTCTTCATAGTCCTTGAACTAGAGCTAGAAGAACACGGAAAATTGAATTTAGCTGGGTGTGGTGGCACACTCCTTTAATCCCAGCACTTGGAAGGCAGAGGCAGATAGATGATCTCTGTGAGTTCCAGGCCAGCCCAATCTACATAATGAGCTCCAGGCCAGCCAGGACTACAAAGAGAGCTGGTCAAAAAACAAAACAAAGCAAAACCATAAACCAGAAATACAAAAAATAAAAACCCACAACTACCTTAATGTGTACAATAAAAGTTAACTAAAATTTGATTGCTCCATACTCTGCAACCATACTTTTTAGTTAATTCCAATTTAGCATTAAAGTCGATTCGTAAGGTTTAGGCGGAAGGACCACAGCAACAGCCTGCTCAGGTGGAGAGAAACCTAGAAAATCCTAAGAACAGTTTCAACAAGCCATAGATAGTTTGGGGTCGGGGCTGCAGCTGACAGAAGTTCTAGTTTATCCTACTGGGCGTTTTTTATTTTTTAATGTTTTTAAGGAGGTGTTTTAATTTTAAGTGACAAATGTCAGTATTTTTTACCTCACGATCTGGAATATAATGTTAAATATTTCAAATATCTTATACTGAACGGAAGCAGCTGTGAAAACACGCGTGTCGAAATTAAAACACTAGGCCTCGGATCAGCTTTCGGTTGGCGGTTTCCCGCCCGTGGAACGCAAAGAAATCCGACCGCGTCTTCCAGGGAGGCGGATACCGCCTCAAACCACCGTGAAGCAAGATCGGCCATGTTTAATGAGGTCAGTTCTAATGCATCCGGGAAAGGCAGGAAGAGGGGGGGCGGGACGCCGAGGAAATTCGGCCAATAGGATCGTGTAAAGGAATCACGTCGGCAGTAACCAGGGGAAGACAGTAAAGCGGGAGGCCGGGGACGGAAGGCGCTAGATAAATTAGTCCGGCCTCAGGAAGCAGTTTCTGCTGCCTAGCGGAACTATGGATTCATAGCGGAAAGGTGTCTGTCCGGACCTTGGCTTCTGCTTCCGTTACATAGCGGAAGTGTGGTTCGCTAGAGGACGACTCTTGGACGAATTCGCTCTCCCCTGCATGCTCGGCCGGCATCATGTCGAGTTTGGCGGTGAGAGACCCAGCCATGGATCGATCACTGCGCTCGGTGTTCGTGGGGAACATCCCGTATGAGGCGACAGAGGAGCAGCTAAAGGACATTTTCTCGGAGGTTGGTTCAGTTGTCAGTTTCCGTCTCGTATATGATAGAGAGACCGGAAAGCCCAAGGGTTATGGCTTCTGCGAGTACCAAGACCAGGAGACTGCGCTTAGTGCCATGCGGAATCTCAATGGGCGAGAATTTAGTGGGAGAGCGCTTCGGGTGGACAATGCTGCCAGTGAAAAGAACAAGGAGGAGTTAAAGAGCTTGGGCCCGGCAGCGCCCATCATTGACTCACCCTATGGGGACCCTATTGATCCTGAAGACGCTCCAGAATCTATTACTAGAGCAGTCGCCAGCCTGCCCCCAGAGCAGATGTTTGAACTCATGAAGCAAATGAAGTTGTGTGTCCAAAACAGCCACCAGGAAGCTCGCAACATGCTGCTTCAGAACCCACAGTTGGCGTACGCTCTGCTGCAGGCACAAGTGGTGATGAGAATCATGGATCCAGAGATTGCACTGAAAATTTTGCATCGTAAGATACATGTCACGCCACTGATCCCGGGCAAATCTCAGCCTGTCTCTGGCCCCGGCCCTGGTGCTGGTCCTGGCGCTGGCCCCGGTCCTGCCCCTGGGCTCTGCCCAGGACCTAACGTTATGCTGAACCAACAGAATCCTCCAGCCCCTCAGCCTCAGCATTTGCCAAGAAGACCTGTGAAGGACATTCCTCCTCTGATGCAGACTTCTATCCAGGGAGGAATTCCCGCTCCAGGGCCAATACCAGCCGCAGTACCTGGACCCGGACCTGGTTCTTTAACTCCTGGAGGAGCAATGCAGCCACAAGTTGGCATGCCAGTGGTTGGTCCAGTGCCCTTAGAGCGAGGACAAATGCAGATGTCAGATCCGAGACCTCCAATACCTCGTGGACCCATGCCTTCTGGTGGCATACCTCCTCGAGGACTACTGGGAGATGCTCCAAATGACCCACGTGGAGGGACTTTGCTCTCCGTTACTGGAGAAGTCGAACCCAGAGGTTATATGGGACCACCTCATCAGGGTCCTCCCATGCACCATGGTCATGACAGCCGTGGCCCTTCATCGCATGATATGAGAGGAGGGCCATTAGCAGCGGATCCCAGAATGCTAATTGGAGAGCCCAGAGGACCCATGATAGATCAAAGAGGTCTACCTATGGATGGTAGAGGAGGTAGAGAGTCTCGAGGGATGGAGCCGCGGCCTATGGAAACTGAGGTCTTGGAACCACGAGGAATGGAGAGAAGAATGGAGACCTGTGCGATGGAAACCAGAGGAATGGAAGCAAGAGGCATGGACGCAAGAGGACTGGAGATGAGGGGCCCTGGCCCTAATTCCAGAGGTCCAATGACTGGTGGAATCCAGGGTCCTGGCCCCATTAATATGGGGGCAGGTGGCCCTCAGGGACCTAGACAGGTTTCAAACATTGCAGGAGTGGGGAATCCTGGAGGTGGCATGCAGGGGCCAGGTATACAAGGAGCAGGTTTGCAGGGGGCAGGTATACAAGGAGGAGGAATGCAGGGGGCAGGAATACAAGGAGCAGGAATGCAGGGAGCAGGTATACAAGGAGGAGGAATGCAGGGAGGAGGCATGCAAGGAGGGATGCAGGGAGCAGGCATGCAGGGAGGGATGCAGGGAGCAGGCATGCAAGGATCGAGTAAGCAAGGTGGAGGCCAGCCTAGCAGTTTTAGTCCTGGGCAAAGCCAGGTAACTCCGCAAGATCAAGAAAAGGCAGCTCTGATCATGCAGGTTCTGCAGCTGACCGCAGACCAGATTGCCATGCTGCCCCCAGAGCAAAGACAGAGCATCTTGATTTTAAAGGAACAAATCCAGAAATCCACTGGTGCTTCTTGAAAGGTTTTCAATGAGGAAGTACTTAGTTATTCCTTCAGTTTATTCTGTGGCATGAAGTGGGTGCAAAAAGCTGCCGTCTGTGTTTGGATACCTTAATGGCTTAAAGTTTCCTTCTCCCTAGACTTTAGTCTTATTTCTAGTCTTTGCTTTCTGTTTTGTTTTCTTTCTTTCTTTTTTTTTTTTTTTTTCCTTTTTTTGATATTTTGAGGGTGGGAGTTGGAGGGAGTGGGTTGGCTCACGTTGTCACTGTTGCTCTGCTGGGTACCCAGAAAATGAGGACAGCATACCAAATAAGGATATGAGGAAAAGACAGCAAAAATAACATGTTTGCATTTTGTTCATTATATTTTTAAAATGTTGAGTGAACTGTGAGACCTACATAAAAAGTGAAAGTGGCCTGTTGCAGTATTGCTGAACTAAGATAGTTTAAAGATTTTTTTGGTTATATATTGAACTGAATGTCAAAATGTTAAAAGAGATTTTTTTTTTTTTTGTAAACCAAAATAATAATTCTATTTTGGAAGCAGTAGAGTATTGTATTAAGGTTGCCACTTTAGTTATTTTGGTATTATTTTGAACTATTAGAGCTAACAGTGTATGGTAAAATTTGTAGCAGTGGGGTTGGTTTTTAAAAGCACTGTTGTCTATAAAAAGATAACTCTTCATTTATCTGAGCCCATTAGTATTTTTGCCTGATCTCATCTGTGGTGATATTGTAGGCTAGTTGTAGTGTCAACTGACTTACCAAGTCTCCTCTGGTGAGACTCAAGTAATCTCAATACATTTCTCGAAAAAATTCCTAAGCTCCAAGTCTGGTTGTGACTGATTTTCTCACATCTGTAAGAATCAGTTAAACATGGGGTTAGACTTTGTTGGGTAATGGAGGTTTTATCAGTAAAGCTCCCAGGTTCTTTAAACCACTATCCACGCACAGATGCAATCTATTTGGTTGGCAGGAATCAGAAGTTAAGACTCTGTCTTCACATTTTGATGTGTCTTATAGTTTGATTACTTTCATAAACTCATGTCATCATCGTACTAGAACTGAGGCCCAAGTACACCGACAACTCTGCTCAGTTAACTTAATATTTTATTTCTTCATTCCTATGAGATATTTTTTAAAATAAGGAATGTGAAATCTTTAGAGTTACCATCTTATTTTTCAGCTTTAAGTATGTGGCACCTAGACATTGTATCCTATCCAGTTAATGAGCAGAAACAAGCACAAGTTCCCACTTGACCAAGTGACCTTCCTCTGTAGGAAAATAAACAGCCAGCCAGATTGAAGAGTAGCCTTAGGGAGAGAGCTGACCTAAGGGTTTGTTTTCCCCTCGCAAAATTTGTACATTTTAAGTGTAGAAGTTTCCATCCCTAGGCTATTTTCCTTCAGTTTAGTTTTTTTGTGCTAGTGTTAAGCTTTCTGTGTTTTCCTCTTCCTCCCCTATGCTAGAGTTGAGTAGTGTACTTTTACCTTTGTGCTAATTCTAATTCCATTTACCTGTATCTTTTGAAATTGTAGTTGCTAACCCCAAACTTCTTACAGTCTTTGTTATAAGAAAAATCTGCATTGTTTAATGAAGATTAAATAAAAAGGTTGTATAATGTATTTTGTATGTTTAATTTCTTTAATACATTGGGAAATATCTTTTTAAGAGATACATACATGCATATATACAATGAAAAAAGTAAAAACAAGGAAATTGATGGTTGTACCTTTAATTATTGTATATGTAGTTCAAAAGGTGGAATCCCATGAAGACACTGCCACTCCAGTGTGATACTGCCCACATCAGACATGGTTTTTCCTTTGGAGCGCTGTGTCCTAGGAACACCTTTCAGGTTTCCTTTTTGTTTTTTGAGATGGGGTTTCTCTCTGTAGCCTTGTCTGTTCAGGATTCCCTTTGGAGACCTGGCTGGCCTCAAACTCACAGAGATTCGCCTGCCTCTGCCTCCCAAGTGCTGGAGCTACAGGGGTGCACCACCACACCCGGCCCTTTCAGGTTTCCTAAGCACTGACAGCATTTGTACTGCAAAGTACTGTGTTCAATTCAGCCACAGCCCCCAACTTGCACTTAAAAATAGATAGCAAATGGGATGTGGGAAGGGCATTACTCATTCTTGTATGCACTACAGTAAAAGAAGCACTTAAAGAAGGGTAAAATATTTTGCTAGGGTCAGATGGAAGGGGAGGAGGGCCTCCCATTTCAGTGGACCTGGGGAGGGGTGCAGGAGGAGATGAAGGAAGGGTGGGGTTGGGAGAGGACAAGGGAGGGGTCTGCAGCTGGGATACAAAGTGAATAAATAATTAATATAAAAATAAAAAGGGAAAAACATCCAGTTTTAGTTGACAAAAATCTCATTAAGACCATGTTTATCCCCAAAGGACAGATTCATCATAAAATGAATTATAACAGCAGTTTGCATTAAGATACAAATTAGAAGAAAACACCTGTAATTTCCAAAGGGGGGGAGGCAGGAGAATAAGGAGTTGAGTGAGGGTCATCCTTGGCTCTGTGAGGAGTTGTGGCTACCCAGGGCCACGTTAGCCCCCATCTCAAAAACCTTTAGAATAATCCCAAATAAAAAGCAATCACCTTTACTGTGAAAAGATAAACAAAATAGTTCCTCATTTCTAATGAACTACTTAAGGATTCTGGTATTGATAAAATAACAGGCCTTAATTCATTTATAGGAGAATAATTCAAACTATATGTGATACACAAATTTGTTCTCTGTGCTGGCTCAAGGTGATGGGATGTAATACTGATTACCAAGGTTTCTTTGGAGTCTGTTCTCAAGCAGTACATGTTTAGGGGGATTATATAATGATTGAATTTCACTAGTGCCTTCACAATAGCCTTTTCCTTCCCCTAGTACTGATGATTGTTACGCAAATGTGCTTTTCTAGAGCTTCCAATTTTGCATATAAAGTATACAGTGATGTCAGGTCTGGGGAAGGTGGCCTAATCCAAGTGAGATTGTTTTATGACTGGAATTTTAGTGTTAGAAAAACAGCTTTTTAAATGTATCACAGCTGGCAAAGCTTGCTTTTTCATACTGTGATGGGATATTAAGAACGCCTACAGAACCTCTTTTTCCTTTGGTATATCAGGCTTTTCTCTTAGGTCTAATGAGGTCTTAGGGCAATTACTAGCAGCCACCTACTGTGACAGGACTAAAACAGCAGTCACATCTGAGTCCTCACAGGGAATGTCCGCCTCTGCTTTATTTCCTCAGTTAATCTCTAAACAGACTTCTCCAGTTGAAATATGCTTCTTTCATAGGGTATTACCAAGAATACAGCCAAGAAGTGATTTATATTGAAATTATTAATATATTAAAGCTACAGATACAGTTAATAGTTATGTAGTATTGATGTATGATATGCTTCTATATTTTAGATCTAATAATACTTGGTTATGTTTTTCTGTGTGTGTTTATACACTAAAAAGCTTCCTTATTTGAAACTCTTACATTTTGAGAGAAAGTCACACTATCAAAGAGTAAAAAGAAAGACACTAGGTACCTAGTGCTATGGAGAAAGTACCCAAGTGGTTATCAGCTGCATAGAAAAACATTTCTTTATAACTGACCTGAGTTAAGGCCTCAAGGTAGGTACAATATTCAGTAGGTAGAATAAAACACTAAATCTTTGACTATAAATAATTCTGTTTGATTCAGTTTGTATAATATTTATACATATTTGGTATGAACTTAATGTCAAAAACATATATGTTTTTTTAATCTGCAAGGTTAATGATTTTTGGTCTGCCTTAGAATAGAGGCAGAGGAAGGCAGATCCCTGTGAGTTCAAGGCCAGCCTGGTCTACAAACTGAGTCTAGGACAGGCAAGACTACACAGAGAAACCCTGTCTTGAAAAACAAACAAACAAGTAGAATAGATAATCTTGCGGACACCGAGAAATAAAGTTTCTTCAAAACTACTGTGTGTCTCTTACTTAATTAGCCATTTTAACCAGAATTCTGTCATTATATGAAATATCTGCGAAAGTGTCTAAAACATTTTGCACACACCTCTGAATGCCTACCTCCAAACCTTACTGCCTGCAGTTAACTGAAGCAACTTGTACCAGTTTCAGAATCCATTTACAAGTTTCTAGGCATTAATGAAAAGGTTCCAAATTAATCTTCTTCAGAAAAAAAATTAATTTGCAATAACTCAGTTTTCAATTCCCTTTGTCTTAAGCATTAGCTGTATTAGAACTTGAAATGTGTATCAATTTAAAAAATAGCACAGTTGAGTTAAGGTAATGGGACTTTATCGGCTTTGCATAGCGCATTAACATTCATAAAATAATACTTTATGTCCTAGGTATCACATTTTCTCACATGTTAAATCAATAGTAGCATACAGCATGACTGCAAATATTGGCAGATAGAAACAGAATTAATGGCCTATTAGAATTTACTTTTCTTTAAACCTATGCCTAAAATGATTTCATCTTTAGTCAAGTGTGAGAGGAAAAGGTCTCCATCCCATCTTTTCTTTTTTCTTTTTGTTTTGTTTTGTTCTGTTTTTTGAGACAGAGTTTCTCTGTGCAGCCTTGGTCATCCTAGACTTACTTTGTAGACCAGGCTGGCCTCAAACTCACAGAGATCCACTGGCCTCCTGGAGTGCTGGGATTACAGACACGTGCTACCATCACCCGGCCCATCTTGTTTTCAACAACAGAGAAAATATATTGTTGAAACTTCTAGAATAGTTATTAAGTTTATTACCAAAAAATTTGTCCTTCAGTATCTTCAGGCAAGAACTGTTGTATTGGTGGCCTGCCAGCCAATTGAACCTGCACACAGGTTTTACGCTGCCTAGCTCGATTTTCTCAAACCTTTTTATTTTGAATGTATATGTTTTTTTCCAGCTTTGCGACAGAGCCAACTTCCTTGATTCATGCGGTTATAAGACTGCCAACTGACCCCTGTAACACTGTGACTTACGGCAGTGTTCTTTTGTGGAAATAGAGTTAGAGTCCATTTTAATCATTAGTGTCTAATTTGGCCAATATGAAATAAGAAGAGTTGTTTGGCAAGTGGTTTATTAAGGGTATTCCTGTAAAAACAATGAACAAAATAGCCCAAAACAAGCCAAACCCAACAACAAGATGGCAAATTGTTAATATGGAGATTTTGTATACTGGCCAAAGAAATTCCCACAAGGCCTGTCCAATTAGGACATATTGTTCTCATAAACTTTTTGAACTTTTAATAAATATTGACCCCCAAAAAACCTTTTATTCTGTTTAAAAAAATATTTTTACATTTATTTGTGTGTGTATTTCTTGCACATTGCTGAAATCCTAGACAAAACATACTCTTCAATGGTCTTTTCCATCTCCAATTCTTTGTTGTTTTTTATTTCATGTCTTTGTTTGATTTTCATCACAATTTGTGTGTGTGTGTGTGTGTGTGTGTGTGTGTGTGTGTGTGTGTGTGTAAACATGTAGAAGTCAGAGGACAACCGGTGGGAGTTGTTTCCCTTCTACCATATGAAAACCAGGGATCAAACAGTCAGTCTTGGTGGCAAATGCCTTTACCATCTGAACCATCTCGCTGACTCCCTTTCTTTCTTTTTGATTTATCAAGAACAGTTACCTTCTCTGACCACCATTTAAATATTTGACATCCTTTTTTTTTCCATCCTTTTCCAGAGCATACTGATTTATGCTACATGCATGCCATCAACGAGCTACTCTTATTCCTGTATTACCATTATCTCACCTGTGTTGGTCCCCAAACATCCATTAACTTTCTTTATGACTATACTGTGCACATATGAAGCTGGGCTGTGGCGGTGCACACCTTTAATCCAAACACTCCGGAGGTACAGACAGTCAGAGCTCTGAGTTCAAGGCCAGAGCAAGTTCAAAGACCCTGTCTCTACCCACAGATGTGTTATATAGTCATAGAAATAGGTCTAGGTCTAGGTAAACACAGAGAATGTTTACTTCAATTATTTGCTGGAAACGTTTTAAGTTCAACCACTTAAACTCAATGTCAACTTTTCTTTGAGAAAAACCAAAACCCTAATTTGCTTAAATTCCAAATGTTGGTTTAGCTAATTTATACCCTTAATTATATAAGATTCAAAGATTACCTTGAAAGGCATAGATTACAGCATAGAGTTTTGAGACTATTTCTGGTACCAGGCAAATCTTTCGATAGTTCCAGTTCTCCCGGCCCTCTCCTTTTGTTACTTCAGAATACTTATTGCAGTTGGCAGTTGGTTTTGCAGCAGCCTTTTGTCACAGGTTAATTCTCACTGAATCGTAAACAAAATGACCTTATACTTTCAAGAATCCTTCCACTGGTGGCTGGAGAGATGGCTCAGTGGTTAAGAGCACCATCTGTTCTTCTGAAGGACCCAGGTTCAATTCCCAGCACCCACATGGCAGCTCACAACTGTCTTTAACTCTAGATCCAAGGGATCTGACATCTTCACACTAATGCACATAAAATTAAATAAATTAATTAAAAAAAATTCCTCCCACTGCCTGGAGGTTAAGGTATGAGAAAATTCCTCAGCTCCCAGGAAGAGGTATTTACCAAAGTTAAGTGTCATATGGGTAACTTGAAGTCAACATTCTG